TTTTGTAGATTTTAATTCTATTATTTCAAAACCGGATAAAAATACAAATGAAAATTATTTAGCACGAGCTATTTTAACAAAATTACCAACGCATTTAAAACAAGCTTTTAAAAACGATGCAAATATTGCAAATTTTTAAAGAAAAAATTAATAAATCTTTTTTTTTTTGTATTTTTTTCTTTTAATTTTTCTTGTCTTATGTGGAGAGTTGCAGTGATTAAATAGACTTTTTAATGAACTAGTAGTCGATTTTAATAAAATAAATTTCACAAAAAGAAACACTTACTTTTTTCTCTAATCATACCCAAAATTGTATAATTGTAAAACATGGTTCTCCTCTACTGGTGGAACCCACATTCCAAAAGTTGAATTTTCTCCACCTCGCTGTAGACATACTGAAGATTTTCTCTGATCAGGTATTATAACATACTAATTATAAAATATTACTCTACGTTTTAGTGTTGCATCTGTTGCAATTCTGTTTTGTGTTTTAAATTATATAGATAAACACTCTTTGTTTTATAATAGATAAAAATCTAGATTTGATCGTAATGACCTTTATACATTAAATGTGTATCATTATCTGAAACTGAATGTCAAACAAATGCAATTTTGGCAGTGGTGTTTTATAAGTTGTAAGCTTCAGCAAAATTACTTTATATGTAAACAGAGAATAATAATACCTCACAGAACGTATCTGCATGAGCTTTCAATGTCCGTGCCAACATTTTCGAATTGTATCATATTGGCTAACATGTCCCTTTTTAATTAATAGTAGTTTAAATACAAGAATGCGATATTCAACTTTACAGATTTTACATACTATATAGTGGAAACCCATAAGTGGTTATCTTGACTGTTTATTTATTACTAACCACTTAATTAATCAACAGCTTAAAATGAACAAAAAGGATAAACATTTCTATAGAATAAAAATTGTTTATTCATTTTAAACCGTTGACTAGATTTCTTGTTCACATAAGTAAGACTAGAAAAAGCCTAATAGGTCTTTCTTCCAGATCTATGACTATTTTAATAGGTTCACCATTTATAACAAGAGATTTACCAAAAACTCAAAATACAAAATTTCAATCTGAGAATTTCACCGCATATAAATCCCATAACCATTATAGGGACCTGAATGTCACAATCCGAACGAATGCTTCTTTTTCGAAATAGTGAATTTTTAAACAAAGTCAATTTTCGTGATATATGATGCTATGGGCGTATTTCTTAAAGACTTAATATCTCGAGAAAGAAGCATTCGCTTTCATTATGGCATTTAGGTCATTATAAGGATCATAAGATTTATGTGTAGCGAAATTTTCAGATAAAAATTTTGTATTTTGAATTTTCGGTAAAGGAAGTGGCGCTTATACCTCCCCGCAGGTTTTTTTTTCGTTCAAATATTTTTTGGTTGTGGGTAGTATGAAGATGTAAAATCACCCAATCAGACCTTGGACATTTTTAGTCTTAGCAAAAAAAATTAATATTTTAGAGAACGGTCATTTATATAGGAAAGTACTAGAAAATAGGGAATATTTAGAGGTTTCTATAGTTGAAAGTTGATTTTTATGTAAAATGAGTATGATATTCAGAATCAGCATGAAAAATTACACTAGACAGTCTATTTTTATTGTAAAATATTTTCCATGAAAATTTGACCCACAGGAGACCAGGGGGAAAAATCTCATGGATAAAAGGTTGAGGAGGAATAGGAGGTCAGATTTCCATGGAAAATATTTTACAATAAAAAATAGACTCTAGTGTAATTTTTCATGCTGATTCTGAATATTATACTCATTTTATTTAAAAATCAACTTTCGACTACAGAAACCTCTAGATACTCCCTTTTTTCTAGTACTTTCCTATATAAATGACCGTTCTCTAAAATATTGATTTTTTTTGCTAAGACTAAAAATCTCCAAGGTCTGGTTGGGTGATTTTACATCTTCATACTATGCACAATCAAAAAATATTGAAACGAAAAGAAAACTTGCGCGGGGAGAGGGGTATAGCCTATGGAAAAAGCGCCACTTCCTTTCTTGTTATAAGCGACAAACCTAGTAAAATGATTATAACACGGAAAGAAAGACCTCAAGGTCCTTATCATATTAGACTTTTTTCTACTTTCACTGAGTCGTACTTATGAGAAAAATATCAGCGTAAAAATTCTAAATCACTTGAAGCAATCCCTTCATTAGCTAAAGAAATCTACATTTTGATTCCAGATCTTTAAAAGCTGTATGTAGTATTGAATTAAAGCTTATGTTTGTTACATCAACCGGTATTGGTTCCAAAAAAAACCACGAACCGATCCTATCTCTGACGTGTATTTTCTTATAAACATGCTCGATGATCAAATTAGTACGTGTATTTACCGTTTATTAGCTTATACTTCCTATTAAAGAATAATTACGCAGATAATTTTTTGTTTTTTAAATTGTGACAACCTTGGTTTGTTTTTCACAGTTGGTTGACGAAAAGAAAGTGTAAACATACATATGACTCATATACAAAACGTGTAACAAAAAAAGAATTTATTTTAGATTTTCACTGAAAAAGTACATATACAAATTTTTAAAATTTGGAATTGCAAAAAATCTTTTTTTTCAATAGAAGACGGGGAATACAGCTCCCCCCTCCCCGTCGTCACATTGAATTTTAATGATATTTCAGCATTATGCAACTTGCCATGATAATTAATTTTCAATATTTTTTTTTATCAGTGATGTTTTTTAGGCATAGACAGCGTACTAGCGAAACAATAGTATGCAATTGCTCGGATACCTTTCCATTCTAATAGTTAATATAAAAAGATTGATACAAAATGCTAAGCGTTTGTTTTATTCTATTTGTATGGCTATACTTTTGTCATATATATTTCACATGTCTTTATTAAAGTAGCTGAAAGCCGATTAATCAATATCATATGATTGAAGAAACACAAAGAACATTTTTCTTTTTTTTTTGTATGTATGATAGAAAGCCTTTTCTGTTCTTTTACAATTTTGTGATTAACTTCTAATTTATTATTTAAATGTTTGAAACAAATAAAGTTTCTTATTACTTAAAAAAATCCAAAATCCTCGCTACAAGAAAAATGTAATAGAATAGCTATTGTGAATCTAAATGAAATATTACAAATGATGATGCAACATCAGTGCCACCATCTTGAAGGTGTCGGTGCTCGTCTTCTCTGCACTCATTCACAAATCAAGAGATACTATCTAACATTCGCGCCAGAATTAAAGAGGGAAGTAGGTACAATCCCAATAGCCGGTCCGATCTGGCCGAACCAATCAGCCTGTTTTGTATTTTTTTCTGTTCGTTCATTCTGTTAGATTTCTTTAATCAAATTATACTTCATTTTTTTTTCAAAAATGCAATTAAAACTGAATTAATTGCGTTAAATTTATATCATACATGTTTTGTTGAAGATCAAATTTACATTTCGATCGTCGTTCTAAGAGAAACGTTAGGTTTATATGTAAAGGTTGAGTGAGGAAACATTCAACTTGTGAAGTGTGGCAATCAGTTAATGTATAGATGACTCTTTTTTTTCGTGCTATATACAAATATCTCAGATATTTATCTTTGGAAAGCTAAACGGATATGAAGGACTAGAACATGATATTACTTCTTGGTAGTTTGTAAAAACCTGAGTGAAAAAAGGAAAACGACTGTTTTTGAAGCTATTCCTGTTAACCAATTAATAATAGCTCAATAAACAGATTACTTTCTACTGGTTATCACAGACTAAAAGATTTTTTTTTTGAACCGGATCAATCTAAAATTTCGACCGATGAGTCGAAGCAGTTCAATAATTCTCGACTAGTTACAACCCTGAGTTGACTCCTATTTCTGTTACCGTGAAATATATAAGCAAATTGACAATAAGACTCACTACAATATAAGTATTACAAAAAAAAACAAGGGGGGAAGAACTGAAATCAAATTTTTTTGGAATACACTGATAAAAAAGTAACTGAATTTGTAATAGTCATGATAGACTTCATTCTCTAAATGTGCGAAACATCTTTTAATAACCAAGTTCTACCTAAATTATAAGAAAATAATTAAAATTAAATCACAAAACGTTCAAAGCCTGGCCTTTTTGAATAAGTGATTTTTGGTTCAATTGATATTTTTATGACATTGATATCTTCTTTTTTTTATTTAAAATTGATAAAAAAATCATCAGCTTCTCTCTTGGTATAAATCTGAAGGTAGCCAAAACGAAATTTCGCCTCTAATATCAATTTTGCCATATGAAAAAACTTTATAAATTCGTCGGTGGTTTTTACCAATCGGGAAATACTTTTAGACCAACCGATTACAACGCTGAAACAACGATAACAGCTGGCAATCTGTGGTTTTTAACAGTCGAAAGAGAAGAACTTTCTATTTCTATGAGAAAAGAATCACCTGAATCGTGTCTTGAGCTATAGATCTGAATAAATTTCAAAGTAATTTTGTCTTATATAATATATCATAGAAAAAGACATCCGAAGTTCTCCTCTTTCGATTGCTAAAAACCGCAGGTCTCTAGCTGGTGTTATATTGTCGAGTTATTGAATTTACACACCTCCCTCTTTAATTTTGGTGTGAATATTATTTTATAAATTTGTATAAAAAAAAAATCTATAGAAAGTTTTGTTTGCGCCGCCTAGGAACAATACTTGTGTGCAAAGGACACCTATGCTATAGAGGTCATATTAGATCTTGATAAGACTATGATTGGTAAATAATTTTCAATTTTTTTATTGGTTTATTTTACATAAAACAATATTGATAACCAATAGAAAAAATTTTAAAAAAAATAATTTTTCCATTCGATGTGTTACGATAACGGTGATAATTACGTTTTCTTTTGTTATATAAATTTTTATTCGCTTATTTTTTTTCTCTTACATATATTAAAAACACATAAAGAAAAAAAAAGCCAACTTGATTACAAGTCTATTTAATTTTTCAATATTTATTTTGTTTTCGATAGAATGCATCAAGTGGTAGAAGTACTTCCATCTCTATCAGGAACTTCGAATGAATCATTATTAAAAACTGAAATTGATCATGAACAACCAACTATTTCATTAACAGAATCACTAGTAGCGCCACCATCAGTCACTCAAACACAATTGATTACAGTGCCAATAGTATCCGCTCAACCGTTTTTAACAAGCACTCCATCAGCAACAATAAAACGAACAAAACGAGTATGGGTTTTTTTTTAATTATTCCTATAGAATCTAATAACAAATCTTTTTTTCCAAGGGTTTTCGAACTTATCTTAATAGTAAAAAAGTCAATCGCACATCTATTAAACCAACGACAGTACTTGCTCGACCATCGACTATAATTCCATATTCACCAAAACCAATTTTACTTAACAATCAAATAAGTAAATAAAAAAAAAAGAATTCCTAAACACTTTTTTTCATTTTATTTTCATTTAGCACCGATTATTCCAAAATCAGTAACATCAAGTAAGTTATTTAATTAAATTCCTAAAAAAAGAAAGTCTTATTTATAATATTCAATTAGTTCAAACAAATCCATCAACAGGATTTACTACTTATTTAGTTGTCGATGGTAGTCAAGGACAAGTTAGTTTTGAAAATTCTTATTCAGGAAAAACAAAACCGAGAAATCTTTTTCTTATAGCTTGTTCAAGTTTCTAATGATGGACAAAAACCAGTTACATTTCGAAATCAAGTTGGACAAGTTCTTCAAGCAACACCTATTACAGTTGTTTCAACTGCTAATCAACCTGTTATATCTTCATTTCCAACAAATAGTAATTGTTCATTATGTATGTTGTTGAAATAAATTTCTAACGAAAAAATTTCTTATTTTTTTGAATTAGTATCAAATTCATCACAAACAATTACAACTGTTCGAACAAGTTCTTCGATTGATATGCAACAACAAAGTAAATTTTTGTTTTGTTTTTTTGAACAAAATTAATAAACTTTTAGCATTTTTTAGCAACTTTAACAAATGGTACAACAACAATGACAACACAACAATTAACAGGTATTAATCATCAAACATCACTTCTACCAACAACTATTATTAAAGGAAATAATAATTCATCGTTAGAAGAATCAAATACAACAAATAGTAATCTTTCATTATCATTAACACAAATAGCAGAGAAAGTTAGTCATCGTCATCGTCGATCAAGCAGGTAAAATAGAACAAAAAAAAAACCTGCTTCATATTTTATTATTTTCATGTTTTTTTTTTTAAATTAGTTCAAGTACATCGAAAAAGAAACGTGGAAGACCAAGGTTAATTGAATAAAAAATGAAAAAAATTCATTTAAATACAAAATAAAATTTTATATTTAGATTATATGAACGAGATCCATTGACAAATAAACCAATAAAAAATGATCTAACACCACCGACAATAACTACTGAATTAACTAAACCAAATATAACAAATACAACATTTAATACATTATCTAATCATTCAAATAATTGTAGTTCATTTATTTTTCCAAATCAAATAGTAAGTTTATAAAATCTAAAGAATAAAAAATTTTTATGGTACATTTAATATTGTATTATATTTATTAGAAGAATTAAATACGAATAGATGTTCGAACTATGATCTTAGGAATATATGTTTTATAACACTGAAAAATTATTTTGATCGAACTTTTTGTTTTTTTAATAACTAGAGGCGTTCCGAGAGGTGAGTCATCAATCTTCTCCCAATCATTACGACCTCAGGATTGGAGAGTTGATGACTCAAGAGTCCTATTGGAAGATTTTTTTGCTAAAGCTGAGTAGATTTTCAGGAAGGAGATTGAACGGTTTGTTTTTGAGCAAAAATAAACGATAAAACTTTGGAGAAAAACGAATATTTTTCAAAATTGACAGGAAGGACACCCCTTGTTTTGAAACATCACAAATACTTTTCCTAATATTTTCTTCGCATTTTAAAAGAAATCTGTTAGATAAAAATCAGTCGTGCAATAAAACTGCAATAACTCTTCAACGATTCCTATGAGCTTTTCATAAGATGTTATTGGAAGTTTTATTTTATATGATTTCATCCGTAACTTTTGTTTCAAATGATTGGCGTCAACACTAGACCCTCTCAGGTCCAAGAATTTCTGGACTTGGATCTGGTTGTTACGGGTTGTTATCAGCGAGATAGCAACGTGATGGTATGACCACAGAACGGAACAAAAGAATAATCCCCCTTCGCATGGAATCGAACCACGCATCTCCTGCTTTCCGGGCAGTCGTGTTAACCACTGTACTAGAAAGGAGTACTCATTATTCGTTTCGTTCCGTCTTATGTTCGAAGGGGAACACTTCGAACATAACACTGGTCGAAACAAAATTTTCAGATTCGGGTTCGGGTAGAGTCTGAGCTCAGAAATCCTTAAACTCGATAGACTCTAGTGTTGATGCCGATTCAACATTTATGAGTGAAATCATATAAAATAAAACGTTCAATAACATCCTATGAAAAATTCATATGAATCGTTGCAAAATTATTGCAGATTTATTTAACGACTAACTTTTGGAATAATCTGTATATAGCATCAATATATAAAATTTTTAGACAACAATTCCTGTAACTAATTCTTCATTATTACAACAATATCCATATTCATATCCATCATTACTTAATGGAACCACATCAACAAAAACACTTACATCACCAAAATTTAATACTCTAGCTAATACTACAAATTCATCATTATCATCAACTACTTTTCCATATTTATCTCAATCTGTAACAAAAGAATATTCTCAATCATCGACTTCTTCCATAACACCAACACATAATTTTGAAAGAAATTCTCAAACAAATTCAAATCTTTCGAATATTATTCAACAAAATTCATCATCATCATCATCAAATCATGATATTGCTGTTCATTATATTGGTGGTTTTGTCATACGTGAAAGTGATCATCCATTTGTAGTTAATGATAATTTAAATCAAAATAATAATAATAATAATCAACTTCAATGTATTATATGTCAAAAAATTGATATTTCACAAAGATTTTTTGATCGAGAAAAAAAATTTTGCTCAATATTATGCTCATCAAAATCAAATGAAAATAAACCATTAATAATTAATGAACCAATACGAGTAAGATAAACAAAAAAAAAAAGAACAAATTATTTTCTTATTCTAAAACGAAATTTTTCTAAAGGTATTAGAAAATATTAATGTACAACAATCAATTGACTCAAATATCAATGAGCAAATACCATTACCACATGATCATGGTCTACCGACTGATCCAAATAAATGGACGGTAAGAATTGAAATTATTTTTTTGTTTAAAGATAATTTTCTATAGTTGATTTTTTTTTGTGTAGGTTTTACAAGTAGGTCAATTCATTGCACGTTTAACAAACGAAACAATACGTCAAGCATTTTATGAAAGTGAAATAGACGGTCAAGCTTTATTATTAATAACTCAAGAACATTTACGTGATACAATGAAAATTAAATTAGGACCATCATTAGTTATATCAAGTGAAATAACTAAATTACGTGAACGTGCAAAAACATTTTCTCCTTGACTTGTTTCTTTTATTTGATATATATTTTTTTTTGTCTTTTTGGTGCTCAGTATGTTCTATTATTTATTGTATTAAGATAAATGGCTTTTGGTATTATATGAATTAGATCATTGTTGTGCGTGTATGTGTTTTGTTTTGTATGTAGATATTTTCGATTGTTTGAAAAATATGTTTTTTTTTGTTTTTGTTGTATTATTTATAAACTTGAAAAGTAGAAATGTAAAAAAGAGATATGTCGATCGTATGTGCAATTAAAGCTGTAAGGCAATGCATTGATCAGCAGCGACGGCTATGAAAATCTTAGCCTTCGATAATGGTTACAAAAGTGTCGGGCTTCGGTGGTGGCGGTGACTGAAATTTTCCGATGAATTTTTTCAAAATCTTAACTTCAAGAAATTTTGTAATGAAAAAAGAAGAAAAAGATCGTAGAAAAGTTATTGACAAGAAATCAAACGGTGACATCTTTAAAAATTGATTTGGGGAAACGTCGAAGATTTTTAAAAATCTAATATCTAATTGTATATCATAGCGATTGGAATCCTCAGCAACTAGTATGAGCAACGGCGGCAGCCGTTTTTTGGTTGTTCTAGAAAAATTTTGCTATGTACGCGTTAGTATTCCATGTTTAGCTTTGAGTGATACAATCCAGTAAAAGATAATGTCGAGTATAGACATTTTGCTTGACAATCCAAGGCAATATGATGATATTTTTTTATGTAGAATAACCAATTTTTACGTCAGTACGAAATGAGAAAAAAAAGTCAGATGTGTTGATTTTATTGTGAAAACGACCAGAATTGGTTGCAATGAAAAAAAGAAAAATTTTTTATTATTAAATAACAAACGTTTTTCTTTCACCAAGTTAATAATGAACAATTCAAAAAATGTTATGATAATCATGTATAGTTATACTGATTCAGAAAAAAATTGAGAAAACCTAACTGTATTAACTTTTGTAATTATTTATGACCAACTTCCAGTTACAATCACAAATTTGTAAACATATTGACTATTAGGTTACAGTCGTCAACATGACCATGATAATACACATCATTCACACCGATGACTAGAGTTGAATGACATTGTCAACACTGTTTGTATTTATTTTTCTTATCATAAGAATATTTATGATGAAAACATATCTACTAGTATAAGGTAGTATATAGATCAGTATGTTGACAGTAAATAAACATTATTTTAGATGTTGAAAAACTTACAATAGTCAATATTGCATTGTACAAATTATCAGAAGATAAAATGCCGTAAAATTAACGATAAAAACTCTCATAAAACTACTAGTATTCATCATTTGTTTTAATTCTAGAAATCGAGTTAATAATGTCGTATATATATATATATATCGAATTATTCGACATGTTTCAAGAGTAACAGTAATTCAATACTTGTAAAAGGACTTTTTTCTATCAATGAAAAAAAATAAAATTTAGTTATTATTTTCAATCAATATGTTATCAGATAATCCTCACAAAAATAAGCATATAAACGAGCATGCCTGTAATGGAATATATGAAAAAAAAACCCAGTGTTTCTGACAATGATAAGTCATAGAAGAAATTGAACAATTTCAGTATCGGTAAGAATCCACAACGTTGCTTAGGTTGTATTTCTTGTGTTACAATGCGATTGAACACATTCTACAAAAGTTTTTCTACATTCTCTTTAGTCATCTATAGGGAGCTGCGAGTCCAAATTATTATGGATTGGGACCTGAGAGAAGCTAAA